ACTTCTCATGATGAAGTATTTTCCTGAGTCGAGCCAGGTTTTGATCCGACCCCCCTCTTCGTCGTCTCCAGTTGGGTTGCGGGGGCAGCTCGTGAGACGGATGACGGAGAACGTGCCCAAACCGCATCAGTTGTCTTTCTTGAATGGATTCAGATATCCTCGCGATACTGTCGCAGCGAGTGCAGACTGGTCATTTGAGACGAAGTCAGTATACCTCATTCAAGGAATTGCCTTCAGACAGCGGTGATCAAGTACCCCCATGTTTCGATCATCTTCAGTGCATAGAACCCAGCATTCACATCCCTAGAAGTGGACTGATCGGAGGGATGCGCGGTACATATGGATCTTCATAGTGATGGTTATATCGTTTCAGATCCATAGGCGCTTACAGAGGATTGGGAAAACCCGGCCAGCAGCATCGCGTCGGGCGACAATGTCGTCCTTACTCTGTCCAGTAGGGAGCAGCCTCGCACCAAGGTACCTGAAGATGACTACTTCTTCAAGTTGGCGGCCATTAATCCCCGGGGGTACCTACTCCTGTTCAGGGATGCACCTCGAGAATAATTTGGTCTTCCCGATATTTATGGACAACCCAATCAACTTAGCTAGCTCATTCATCCGTGACACTACAAGCTGTAAATCACCAAAGCATGAAGTTAGCAGGACGATATCATCGTGTTAGATCTACATTCATAGACATCAAGTGTTATAATACTGGTCGGCTGAGCATTTACAGCTAGGCTTCAATTAAAGCGTTTCATGCGCATATTCTATCATCATACTACGCTGGTGTGCCTCGCTTTAAGCCGAGTCACATGCAAGTGGCCGGTCTGTGGCGCCGTGGTTTGCGCCAGTTAAACTGTCATATTCTATCAAAGTAGGTATTAAGCTAATTGAGTGTTGACAAAACCCCCTTCTGTCATGAGCATACTGCCGCCATCGAGTCAAACAGATTAGCGCGAGTGCAATGTCGGAGAAAAAAGTGAGATGCCTACATTTATGTCATTCATTCTTCGGCAGCAAGAGAACGGCACCCCGCAGGCCTCCGGACTAACATAGCTGTCGTTGCAGGCGAAGTAGCGATTGGCGGTCCAGTCAGTATAGCTTCTGGGTCCACAACACTGAAGCTAAAATAGAGGGGAAGATTAAGCCGGTAAACAGTGCAGCGGCGCATAAAGCAACCCTATCATCACCGG